CAAGTATCCCGAAAAAAAAAATTGAAAACGGAGGGGGCAGAGTCTAACGGACGCTAAACGCTATATCCGGGCAGCCCGAGCACTCGACTTCTGGTCTCTAGGCTCGCGATAATTGCATCGGCGACGTTTTCCGGCTCCGCGTCCCTTGTGTTGTCTCTGCCTCCTCTCGGTCTGAGCCTCGCCCTCGGGAAATCTCGTTCGCCGACTGGATTCTGACACACATTCGGCCCAGGCTATCGCGAGCAACAAAAACAAATCAATAGTCTCCCGAAGTTTGTCCCGCTCGCCTGCGGACACTTATCCACCGCCTCCTCCTCTCCCCTCCTCCTCCCCCCCCGACCCTTGTGTTTCGCGAAGATTATTTTTCGACTCCCGCGGCTGTTCCCTCGGGTCCGCGTCTCCCCCTCGCCGCGTTTGTTTCCCTGGAAAACGATTCCCGGCCTTCTCCGAACGGTCTGGTCTTTTTCTCCCTGTCCTCGTTACCGTTACACCAGCCGGTCAGCCTGCTTGCGTCATCCCAAGACAACTCCGACTCTCTTTCATCTTTCCCGTTTTTCTGTTACCTCTCGCTTCGCTGAAGATTCTTTCTGATTGTCCTCGCGAAGAGCTCATTAGGTGGGCGGTGATCGATGGAGCTGCCGGTGAACGGAAAGATGATAGACTTCGGAGACGTTTCGTCCCGCTCGAACACGTGCCGCGTCGTCTGCCGTTACACGATCATTCTTCCGTTGTTTCCGCGTCTCTACAGGACCTTATTGATATCAGTGGATAACCACGGTCGAAACAAGTTACTCGATTTGCTTTCAATTTCTACGCAGAGTTCGGAACACTCTAATTGTTCGTCTTACTGATTCTAGTCACGATGTATCATTACCTTCGTCGTACCATCAGATCGATAAGTATTTACAGAAAATTATTCTTCCTTGCAAATTCTAAAATTCCGGTTAAATTGAATATCGATACGTGTGTATAACCGAGCCCAGTTAGAGTTATGCATCTCCAATTTTGCATACACGAAGAGAAGAGTACAACCCCTACTCTTTGTAAAATAATAACACGTTCTATCTTTTCTATCTTTACCACCCTTGATTTCGTGGAAACGGCCATCGATTTCGAAGTTAATTTTACCCGCGACGTATAACGATCTCGTTTTAAATAATTGTAGACGTCTTGGAGCGCGAGGCGGGCCTCTAGGGAATCGGTTCGTTCCTAGGCGCGTCGGTCGCGCGACTATAATTCTTGGCTGGGGTCGTCGGGGGAATTTGGCGGGAATTCGCGGAATGCAATTGCTATTCGCCCTCTAGTTAATTCGGAAGCACGACAGTCGGCTTAACTTTTAGGAACCTCGCGTTCGGTGCATTTTGAAAGTCAGCTGCGTTAATTATCCCTGAAGGGGGTCGTTGTTGGGCCGCTGTCCGCGCCTTGTTCTTCTTAACCCGTCTACGGCGGTTTCAATACGCGAAATGCACAGTATTCCATGGATTCGTATCTCTTCTTTGTTTAGAATAAAATATTGAAGGAGAAAAGTGAATGGTTCGAAGGGGATTATATTGGATTGGTCCGGTTTTCAGTTATTCGCTGATCTCTGTTACAAATTCTGAGCCACGTCTTCCAAATTTTTGCACTTGACGATGTCGCTAAGATTGCATATAAAATTCATTTTAGTCCTGCTTGTCCAATAGATTATCATTAAAAAAGTTTCAATAATAAACAGACTGTGAGGGCACCTTTCGCACCCCCACGAGGAACAGCCCTGCGTATCGTAATCAAAAGTGATATCAACATTATAATCGTAGCGATAGATTGTTCTACTTGGTTCTCCCGATTTTATTTCTTCAGGTCTTTTTTGTGGTGTACGTCGAAAGATAAAGTATCTAGAATCCTACGATCTATTTTGAACGTCGTTTCAAGATAACCGATATCTTTTTCCATCATTTCTAACAGCTCAAATAAAGAAGAAACGCTACTTTGCTACTTGTTAAATTCGTCTCGATATCTGTTAAAAGTACGAACAAACGATAGGTCTATCTATAAAAGAACCGAAGGCAACCGTGGGAGCTGATAAAAAGTATACCATAATCAACCTAAAGGCTTCTTTAAACCTTGATCGAGCACGGTAAAAAAATATCGATCCCCGACGACGGAATAATCTGATGCGATCCTGTCACGCGGTTCACCCTGTACATTTTACAAATCGATGTTGCAATGGCGTACTACACGTAGGGTCTCAGAAACTATTTTTGATTAGAAATGACGTTGATACGTTACTGTGTATACGCTCTAGTTGTAGCTAGTTACTTCCTTGTTTAATTCCCCCCCTCCCCGCACACATGAAAGAATCCAGTGGAGTTAAATCCGGTGAACAGACGAGCCAATTTACAGCGCCATTACACCCGATCCAGTGATCCTCGAAAATCTTATCCAAATAGTAGAGATCAGCTTCTTGTGTAGAATAACCTTCGAAAATGGACAGAACATAATCCGTCGGGATTCTATTTGTATATTTTCCGATAGAATAAACAAATCAGTCGACGGGGAGTCGGTATATTTTAATCCTCTCAACGCCTGAAGCTAATAAGACGACTTTAAAAAATCCATTTTCCTCCAAACATTGAATATCGAATATTTCAGCTCTTTTAAATGAAATAGCTATCCAATAAAATATCTGTCGATAATACCACGCTATAAATTAACGCTTCACAGTTACCGGTGTTCTTTTTTAAGCAAAAATGTATTATCCACAGGGCGGAAATACATGTTTCGTGACGCCGGTTGTCCATAGCCTGCGAATCCGTGAACAAACAGTTCCGTGAAAAATAATTATATCGCGGCGATGCTCGTTCCCGGAACTCAGGTACAATTGTGAAAATCTTATCCATACAATTTTTGATGAAAGGGCACGCGATAGAGATGGAATTTACGACGATGAACTACGAAGTACACTTGAGATTGCATTTTTATAACATTCACCGTAAATTATAATTAAATTTGTTTTCTCGGCGCTAGCAAATCCCCATTTTCCTTATTACGAGCAATTGTAAACTCAGTTCAAGTAATACCAACGAAACGAACGTCGTGTGTATTCGAATATGTTGATAAACGCACTCGATGACCACGACACTGTAAACCAGAATCAGAGTTGGTTAAATATTTTTAAACTCGTTTGTAAGCTAAATTTAGCCCGTGACTTCGGTTTCCTTCCCATTTAGTAGTTTGATGTAATATGTATTTTTCATTTATCCATTCGTAAATTGAATGTTTGTCTTGCTTTTATAACCGACCGTTCCACAAACCATAACACCTCCTCCTTTCATTTGGTGTCTATTCTGATACTACGGACATTTTCTCAGGTCGTAAAAATAGTATAACCAGTCATCAAGCATAAATCTTTTTTCGTTCGAAAACATAACTCCCTTCCGCTCTTTTTACCATCTTCTACAAGGTGGTCCATGGTTTCTCCGCCAAATTGCCAGAGATGCTTTGTAATGTTTGCGAACAAACGCTTTGTTTTAGAGTTAGAAACAAACAATGTACGGTTTATTTATTTGGTCGAATTTATTCCACGTCGAACTATTTTTAAAATCTCAAAATGAAGTCCTGCTGGAAGCTCGACAGCGACGAACAATTGAATTTGTTACTGTACGAAGTGCCTCGGTACTTTGCCGAGTTTCAATAACTGCGTTTTTAATTCTTTGTGCAAGTTCTTCGTACGAAGTCGCTCCCGTCGAGTGAACTTTTTGTTTTAAAGTTTCCCACACGTAAAAATGGAATGGTGTGTAACGTTGTTTCAAACTCTAAAACAAAGAGCTTATTCCCAAACTTCCGTAACATTTCTTTTTCCTTTTAACTTCTGGATTAAGTTTTCGCAGGCTGGCGCAAGTGCTACGAGACACCCTGTATATTATCGATGGTTTTCTTTCGAGTTTTCTTATTTTACTCTCATAATTTATAATACGATACAACTGTGAGAGAAAATTTTCTTCTATTGGTCGTCTGTCGTACTATTTTTTGCCAAACGTTCATAAATGGCATTTGGTCCTTGGAATTATTGGAGAAAAAACGCAAAAGAAGTGTTTTATCCTTGCGTGGTCTTGGATGTTGATTGGAGGGGCAATCACCGGTCGCAGCTATCCGCGATAGGTCTTTCGAGGTCGATTCCCGAAAGAATAAGTGGAACCTTTGATCGAACGGAGTCGTAAAATTCGGGTCCTCCGGGTCGCGGTGACACCGGTCTGGCCGGTGAGGAATTTGCGGAACCAAGCCTTTTCAAGCGGCAGGTTAGCGTTATCGTTGCCACCCCCCGATCCCCCCGATCCCCGGTTGGCCCTTCTTTCACCCCTCGCCGCGTCTGAAAACCCTTTAGAGGACGGACGCTTAAAAGCCTCGGGTACGAAAATTGCCGGCTGACCTAAATAACGATCTCCGCTTCATTCATCCGTCGCCGCGGAAAAACGCTGGCAGCACGCAGCCGACGACGACGCCCGGTCTGCCGTTCCCTCTCCGTGGGAAATAATTAGCCCCGGAGCGCTACCGCGTACGAATATGATGCGTATCGAATCGATACCACCAGCCGGCGAGAACGGTCGACGTGTTTACCGCCCCTAAATCGCTGCTCGAGTCCTCGAGGATCCTTCGGTCGAGCCTCTCGATCGATAATCGCCGGAGGGGATCGACCGAGCCGACGTCTTCCTAGGCACGCGTCACGACACGGACGATCGATCAACCAAAAGGATCCAAGCGCGTCTCCGCGTCGTCGGGCGATCTCGAAACCGATCGCGAGTCCTCCTCCCGAAACGTTCTTGATCGCGTGAGGAATTAAACCTCGGAGCACAGTCGAGCAGTTAATTACGAGCGCGCGATAGTTCGTGTCCGACTCGGAGATTTAGATAACCCAAGGTTATCTTGGCCAGCCAGCAAGGATCAGCCGGGTGTAGAGCCCGTAGGAGGGACGATCGAACAACGTCTTGTCCTTGATACGGAACCTTTCCCCTCGTACTTACCACCTTCGGACGATCCTCCGATGACCGAGTCCTCCCCTCGATACGAGCGGGTAAGCCGATCTGGACGATCAGCGATCCGTCCGGACGAACCACCAAAACCACTTGTACCCTCGAATCGATTCGCGAGCCCGAGACCTCCCCCTGCACGTGTTCCCGAAGCGATCCACCGACCGTATCGAAAGTTCCTCTGGATCCTCCTTTGTTTACCGCCACCGTCGGGGAGGACGTTGGAATTTCGGGTGATCTCGATCGTCGTCGATCGCGAGGCGCTCGAGAGGTTTCGGTTGCGGTTCGAGCGGTCAGAAGCACCAGGACGATCCCACTGACCCAGACCGCAACGGATCGTGCCAGCAGATATTAGGCGTGGAGGCTAGGATGCGGACGGCACAGGACGAGCAGCCATCCGGAGCTCAACGGTCCCTGAGCATCCTCGACGCGTGTCCCGATCCGGACGGCGATCTTTCTACTTGGTTCATCCCTTTCTCGGATCGGTCCTCGAGGGTTCGAAAGGATGCCCGAGGGGGTTGTTTGGCAACATCGCGGTAAACGTGAAGCGACTACGCGTCGTGGTTGCCGCCACAGCACGACTGGCCGGCCGGCCGAACCACCCTCTCTGCTTTCGCCCCGTAACTCCTGCTTTCCTCTTTCACTCGCGCGCGCGCTCTCTCCTACCTTCTCTCTTTCTACCCTCACCACCGTGCGCCGCGCCGCGCCGCTCCCACCTACCCACCTCCGACACCGGAGCTACTCTTCCGTCACGGTCGCTGCCGTGCATCTCCATTTTCCCGCCAATTTTTCGAGCTTCACGCCCAAATTTCAATCCGCTCCCCATTATAATATATTTATCACCAGACCAACGGATACGCTTTTCGACAAACGCTTATCGCCATCCACTCCACGATAGATTCTTTTTCATTAAACTCCTGTCTTTTACAATCGATTCCACTTGGCAAATTCGAGCAAGAAAAAAACGTCAGGTTCACCGGATTTTCTATAGAGTTGTCCCTGAACTCTTCTAAAATACGAAATGCGGATAGTTTGGAATTTTGATTTCAGAGCTGTATGAGATGGGGAGGCGTTTCCAATAACATTTTGCGATGCACAGTTACTTGTTTCTCGAATAACCAAAATTGGTATTGCAGATATCAGGAGTATGGAAGCTTTGAGGCACAAATTACGGTCGATTGATTCGCGGTCGTAAGATCTTAACGCAATTTTTAGATTTTTAATTATCTTTTGAGAAAAAAAACCGTAGACGGGGATGAAAATTGTACGAGCTAAAGATCATCGACCAAGCTTCAGGTTTAAATAAATCAAAATGTTGGATGGCAAGTCTTTTTCGCTTTGGAGTTGGATTCGAATGCTCCACGCGAAGAGACAGTTGAGTGCCGAACGAATTTTTCATGCCCTTCCATTCGCGCAGATACGTTATTCTTGTTTTTACATTTTCCTTTGTGGAAGGAGAAATCTTTATATTCCATACAGTCCCATAAAAAGAAATTTTATTCCGTTGAACCTGATGTAATCAAAATTAAAACGGAACATCGAGATCTCTGTCGATCTTTATTAAAAAACGTGCCGAATGTTCTGCGTTAAGCGTAAGAAATCGTTTTAATCTTCCGTCGAATAGACTCGTGCGATATTTGAAACGAAAAAATTGCAAGTTTACCTTGAAAACACCTGCTCATTATACGCACGCTCTCGTCTCGACGATGATCATAATTAATTCTGCAAATTAAACACTTCGAGTTGTCTCTGTCGCCGTGTATTTAAGCGCCGTGTTAACTTATCGCTCTAACAATATCCTTCTTTATTTAGTTTTTACGTCACATCGACTACTAGGTCGTTAGCGACGACCATGGTGGTGTATACTTTATCCTACACGTTGATTTCTTTTAAATTCGGTCAATTTTATATTCATCGAGTTCAATAAAACTTTTGACTGTAGAGTTTTGATGTTAGAATGGCTAATCTTATTCAATTCGAGCTTAACAATCTTAACAAGTCCTGAATGTGATATGAACGGAATTATATTGTAGTATAATCCAAGCGTTAAGAGGCTCACTCGTAAACATAATACTGTTTTAACGAAGATCTCCCTCCTATCAGCCGTGCCCGCGATCTAGAAATTACTCGTAACGACAATGGATCTTCTTCCAGACATATCGCGAACAAATGTTTTACTTAATATCTTTTCTCTATTGCTTACGTTCATCGCTATTATATATTCTAGATTGTTAATAAATTATTATTATTATTATTATAACACTTGCTAGTGACGCATCCTGACGCGTGTAACGGCCACCTGCGAATTCCTGCGACATCGTAATTTACGAAGTACTTAACGTTAACCTCGATCACGAGCAAACAGCCAAGATCGATCGATCGTCTTAACCTTCCAATATATAAAACATTGTTGACTAACAAGGAGACATCTCGAGGCATAATCCACCGATTTGACGAAACTTTTGTACGAAGAAGTTGTTACGAAAATATTCTTCGCCGACCTTTTTACCGGTAATGGTCCATATCGAAAGGAGGAAAACAACCCTCGAAGTTGGGACGAAAAACTTGTTCGATCAATTTCTCGCTTAATTGTCTTTTTATTTAAAAGAATTTCCTTCGTAGAATTTTCATTACTTTTGCTTGACAAAAATACTGTGTACACACGACGTGGGTTGACGAAGGGGCACAATTCGATAGCAGAAGATAAATTGCTGCGCCAGACCGTCTGGCAGACACGGAGTATCAAATATACCGACGCGTTTACAGCCTCTCCATGCTGGTTTTTCTTTTTTCTTTTTTCTTTTTTTTTTTTCAAGAATACCGGGCACAAAAGCGGCTATCTACGGTTTTATCGTAACCCGTGGCTCCCGGCGAGTCTCGCACGTTTGCACGCGCGATAGGTTAAACAGTGTCGCATGTCATAGTGAGAAGCGCGCCCTCCAGGATTTACTCTGCTCAGGATAAACTCCGCGGGGAAAATAATGTCTCTAAACGCGGCACAGTTTCCACGGGCCATCAGAAAGTCCGACGACGTCGCGCATTAATTAAAACGAAATCCTCGGGCCGCGCGGATGTCGGAATTCTGATTCGCTGGATATTCCAGTCTCGTCCCTTCAACGTCCGTCGGATGTCTGCATTTAAACGACCTCCTTCAACGACGTAAAGATTAGCGACGAGAGCGTTATTAGACTTTTGTTACCTTTGAGGAGGAACCAATTCGTTAACCATGCTCAATTAGGAGTTTTGTGTGCTCCATAGCTTCCTATTGTCTTTTCGAACTAAATTAACCCATTTTATATTTCATACAGCTTGTAGAAGCACGGTGTTTAAAACAACGAATAGTATTTTACACAAATATTATCCTCCGTTTCAGTTTGAAATTGCATAAATCAATTTCCTCCGAGCGTCCGTAAACGGTATTTCTTTTGTTGAATTAAAAATAAGTGTAATATCGTTAGAATCGGTCGTTCGAACGACAGTGTAATAACTCGATGGAGGTAGACGATTTTTTGGGAGCTGTTACGAAAGGGTCCGACGCGGTGTTTGCAGTTTCGAAAGGGCGTAGATCATTCTTCTCGCGGAACATCGGAAGTTTGCAACGTCGAGTGGAAACTAAACTTGGGCTGGCGAGCAACAGCGGAGCATAGTAAGTTCAGCGCGGTACCGTGTCTGCGCCGGTTAAAATTCAATTGCTTAGTGTGCACGGATCGGCGAGAATCCGTCGAAAATGTCCAGCTTCGCGCGGATATTAAATTCTCATTTTCGCGGAACGGGTTCGACCGACCGCGTCGAGTTTCCCTTTTCGAGATCTCATTTCGTTCCCCCGCGAACTTTGCCAATCTTTCTCGACTTCTTTCGCGGGAGCGGTTTTTTTAGTGGTGCGAGGCCGCGAGCAGCTGTGCTCGAGTATTAATCAATCGTTCCACGGCTAGCCGAGTTTCGCGAGTTTGTTTTAACTTACCCGTACTTATTCATACATACCTAGCCCCTTTTTGCTAAAAATTTCGAGAAACCATTTATTTTCCTTCCGGTTACCTTGCCCGTTCCACCATTCGCGATTTATCGCAAATGACCTGTTAAACTCCCGGAATCCGCTAAACGTTTCATTTATCGACGACGAAACTTCAATATTATGTTTGGAACTACGACCATAATCGATTAAGAGAATTGAGAAAATACATTTGGAACAGTCCCTTAAATCGGTAAAAATACTTTGAATACATTCCTTATTAGTCCTTGGTTTCCCTTAACACGGAACGGATCAACCGCGTTGTAGGAGGGTTAGTAGTTTAATTAAAGGCGATTTAAAGAGTCCTAGACTAGCAGGTCCTTGTCCAGAAAGCTCTTCAATTATACTTGCCCAAGAACGACCGAGTAACAAGACGGACTTTTAATTTGCGGTGTTGCGTCAATGTTTCAGCGGCCGGAAGTAAGGTCGATTTATCGATTCTGTCGGCTAATATCGCGCAAAGCTGCCCGAGTTTCCTCGTTTGGCGAGTCATGCATATTTGCACGGTCTCTCGGTCCGCGAGCAGAAATATAACGCGACTTAATGAGTGCTTCTCCCCGATAGAAATTATCAGGTGTGCAATAACGATGTTCGTACGAATGCCAGGCCCACGAACAATTCCGTGAAGATCGCTCGATCTCAGCCTAAGAAATCGCCAAGTGCCTTAAACCTCGGGTTATTCGATCTGTTGTCCCTTTTCCGACAATGAGATCCATTCTCGTGTCTTACGCGAGTTATTTGCAACGAGATCCTCCGTGGATCGTTCGCAATTCGTTCTGATCCTCTTAAGGTATGCCCAGACCTAAAACGAACATCAACAAACACGAACTATAACTTTTCTTTATTTTCGTTATAAAAGGGTCCTTATCTAATATAAAACAAACTTATGATACTTTCTAAATGCAAAAATAGGAAGACACCCATGTTTTATTGTAATCGTAAATTACTATTTAGAAACTACGTTTGGATATCGATGCCAACAATTCTGATACTGATTGGTTTATTGTCGTGCGGTACTCGCTTTTTAAATGAACCTGTGTCCGAGAAACGTTCGTGTATTCTCTGAAACGTTCTCTTGCCTGGCAGATGCCTATTGAGGAAACGATTCGCGTACAGACGTATTGCTTCGACTGAACTACAATCGGCACATCCATAGATCAAACGCATGTCTCCCATTTCCTGGTTTCAATACTTATTCATTTTGTCTTCTAACGTGTAACTAATTAATGAATTATCGAGGGCAGATATGTACACAGTCTTGCAATTACAATTACTTACAGTTACAAAGTTATAATTTTATTTCTGTAGATATCTTGACTCTCTACTCTTTTCATTCCTGAACTGCTTTCTCAACGCTGGTTTATTATATCCATATTCCAGCAGACCGTAAAATGTTTTTCGCTTTCTCTATGACGAGGCGATTATATTGGCGGATAAACGCTTCTAAATGAATTTTTAATGCAGGGGCCAGCTGATGTCGAGATGTCGAGTCCAGCTCGACTTAGGGCCGCAAAGGGTTAAGGGGTTATGAAGGAAAATTCCTGGCTGGCGGTAAAATCCAATGAAAAATTAGAGAAAGCAGTAGGTTGGAATTGTAGGACTCCAGGGAGCAGTTTGCTTAACGTCATGTTTTACCTCTTGGCTGTTGCATTAGACAGACTTAACTTATCTCCTATTAGAGTACATCCTGCAGAATAAGGTCATTTGGGACTCAAGAAAAGGGAAATACTCGAAACAGGATAGAAATTGCGCGATTAATAAAAGTAAAAGTGGTGTACACCACTTTGAGTCGAGGAGGACATCGACCCTAACCGCCGTGTTGCGGCTATGGTCGGATCGAAATCAATTTGCCGCTCAAGGCCACCGACAAGTTATTCCCACTATACTGTTTGGCCTACGCTAACCAATTCTGTGCATCGAGCAACCTACGATTACGCATAACACGCTTTCTTACGAAATAGTGGAAAACAAGTCGTTTTAAATTCAATGGTATAGCGTTTGAACCAATTATTTATTAAGAAAACAAATATGTTACCCTATTTGAAAAATCCAAGGCGACCTTGATTTCGTCATGAAAAGACCTATTTTCGAAATTTGTATTGTCGTCATCCGTTGTCCGCTCGATATCAATAACTTTTTTACCAGATTAAAAATGTTGCCTCGCGTTACAGAGCCCTGTATGATTACCAAAAATCCCTTCGTGTTTCCTTGGAAGGGACATCCGAGTTAGCTAGATTTACGGGTATCCCCTCGGAGAGAACAACCGGGTGCAAAGGGTTAATTGTCCCCCTCGATGATCGAACGAGAGCTGATCTCTGGACGGTGCAAATCGTCAACTTCGAGGAAGGAAGGATCCCAAGGAGAAAGCGTGACTCGTTAATGTCCTTATTCGAGTCGTGCACCTTGATTACGTCGGTCCGTCGATATTCTTGCATGACCTAATTTCCGTCTTCCACCCCTCTGTTCCAGCCCACCGCCTGTTCCCTCCCACCGCCCGAGGAGACAACAGCGGGTTATACTTATTGCACAAATAATTATCCCCGGCTATGCGTGTCCCTTTGTTGATTTTCCAGCTTCGTCGAACCGGCTTTTATTAGCGGCGTACATGCACCTACACTTAGGCGCGTACGCGTAGCGGAGTTAACTTTAGGGAAACATCCCCTCTCTTGCCTACCTTCTCCCTCCCTCCTTTCCCTCTGGTCCCACGGAGATTTACCCTGGAGCTTTTCAATACACCTGCCGGCGGCTATTGTTAATGCAACACAGCCAGGAGAGAGATTATTGTCCTGACAGGCAGGCCGTTCCATTTCCTTCCATCAATCTTCCTCTTCGGGTTACTAGCGCGATGACGCCCGGCGACGCCGAGGCCGATTCATATTTTGCAACGGCTCGACGACGACGACAACGGGCACAATGCGAAATTTAGAACGAGCGCGAACGTGGTAATCAATGAGGTAAGCCGGGATCCGCGTACCTCATTGGTTATTCCGCAACAAGACGCGCATGACAGTTCCCCTTTATTTCTCTCTTTCGCACTCGTGCGCGCGCGCATGCTCTTCCTCGTTGTCTCTTCCTTCGCCTCCCCTCCTCGCGTCACTCTTTTCCCTTTCAGACCGTTTTTCACCCCCTCCCTCCTCCGACCTTCGCGACAAAAGTGTATTATTGCGCCACAACGAAAGGGGATAATGTACCCCGGTTGCGCTCTGTTATTTCCCCATTAATCCTGCTCTTCCAGCGGACCGGCGCGGCCGCGAATTTTATTTCGGCTGTTAATCAATTAAGGCTCGCCAAGTTCGGGATGGGGACAGCCCGAAGAGAACCGCGGGATCTTTGCGCAACGATCTATCGTGCAAATTTTTGTCAAGAGCGGGGAATTTCGACCGAGAACTTTTAATTAATAATTTTGAATAACTTAAACAGACTCCGGGGCTGCTCGCTTTTTATCGGACTCGTTGCCGTGGGATTTTTAATTCCGGGTGAAAGCCGCACCGCGTTTGTTAGCCTCTCCACGGAAACGGTATTAATTAATGGAATGGCGATCCACTTTAAAAACTACTCGAGATCCGTTCCATAGTACTGTAATATGGACGATTAAACAAATTATGAATTCTATTTAGCGATATTATTATTATATTCGTAGACATCACGACGTCGATTATTAAATATTTCGGGAGAGCAACTTTTGAAACAACTTTCTTTATACGGATGAAACGAAGCTATCGTCATCGGTGCACTAACTCGTAAACTCGAGATTTCACGATTACTCAGTGCATACGATAGAAAAGAATATCGAAAGACAGTGCAATTATCGCGTATCGTTCGAAGAAAGTAAATAGGAAATAAAAAATATTGATTAGTTTGTTTTATTTGTTTGCACGATTAAAAGCTCCTCGAGTGTGTGTGCACTGCGATAAGATACGACCGTTTCGAAATCAGATCCGATGATTAACGTAATCCGTGCGTGCCAACGCTGCACTTGCGTGCATTCGTATGGTGCACGAATTCACCGTCAGGGGACGGTAGCGGCGATTTTAACAGGCGCTTTAAATTTCACGCGACGCGTCTTTGTAAACACGCGTCCTTTTCTGTCGGCGGAGACAGCTACTCGGAACGTTTCTTTAAACCTATTTTCGACTGTTTGCTGTCCCGTTTCCTGTCGGTTGCCTCTCTCATTCGCGAGTGGTCGTGCGTCCTTAAAGGAACACACCACTTTTAGAGTGTCATACGGAACTGGTATTTCACTTGGAGAAAATGAAATGTTCGGTTGTCAGTTAGGCTTAATTCTATTGTAATGGGCTTTCTACGAAGCTCGGTGCGTACATCGTCCGATGCATAATCGTGTTAGATTGTTCTGCGAACAATATTGTCCGGAATCGTTTTTGTTCGTGTTCGAAAATGTAATTCTTGTTTTCGCGCGGTGCATAAATGTCATTTTCACATTTTCTAAAATGTACTTATTGGGGATGAATGGACAAGTGCAGCCCTCCAGGGAGAGGTTAGGTAAGTATCAGGTTTAACAGTAAATTGATTGTGCACGAGAGTTCTTGGAAAATTCATTTTTCACTTTCTCTAACTTCACTGTTTATAGACGCGTGGAACGATGACTCGTTTCTGTTAGTCATACCGACCTCGCTGCTGATCTTCGAATTATCGTTTAACGGCGACACTTAATCCTTTGTTTGATTTCCAAATGCTAGGAGGAGAGGCTTTTTTCGTTTAATAGGACGTACATTTAGAAGCTTTAAATACACCCAATATATTAACGTATCAAAGATTACTTTGATTCTTAGGGGGTTTTAGTAACAGTACAATAGGATTGTTATCTGGAATGATTGCTACAGACCGTGTCCCAAACATACAACTAGCAGCCACAAACAATGAGTTACCCGTGGACGATTTCAGTGTTGCAACAGAGGTTGACAGCAAAGTGAAAACAAAATTATTGTCTATGTGGAATAACGTCAAATATGGTTAGTGGTAATGGAAAATCTATGGCTCCTTTCTATTGCAAGAATCATTATTTAGATTTAATTTGCTCAAAGGCTGGATCATTAAGATGGCAAAACCAAACTTCTCAAAAGAATCTCCAGTATGCTTGCTTGGCAAAATTTATCGTAAGAAGCCAGAAGAATTTTTAGAAAAGGCTTCAGAAGCAGAGAAAGCAATAGACACGGGAAGCGAGATATCTCTGGCTATGGATGCTATCAGTTTTGAAGATGGTATAGAGGAATTTAAGAAAGACTTTACGTCCCGTCTATGGTTGACATACAGGAGAGAGTTTCCTATTTTAAATGGATCTACATTCAGCACAGACTGCGGTTGGGGTTGTATGCTACGCAGCGGCCAGATGATGTTGGCACAAGCGCTGGTCTGCCATTTTCTCGGGCGAGGCACTTATTTTCTTTTTTAAATTTAGCAATAAGTACACAATATGTTCATTCACAATTACCATAGTATCTATTATCTGTCTATAGCTTTGTAGTCATTATTATGTACATATAGTGTATTCTTTATTTACGATACAATATTTTTTTTGTACAGAATGGCAGTGGCATCCAGATCAACTGATACAAACAGAACAACAAAAATTAGACGAATTTAATCACAGACAAATTATAAAATCGTTTGGAGACTTACCTGAACGCATATCACCGTTTTCCATACATGCGCTCGTATCCCTGGGTGCACTGTCGGGAAAACGTGCAGGAGATTGGTATGGACCCTCCTCTGTTGCTCATCTCTTATGCCAAGCAGTAGAACATGCAGCAGAACATCATTCAGTATTCAGTAACTTAGCTGTTTATGTTGCTCAAGATTGTGCAGGTGAAAGTCAAATTATTTATATTTTAACCAAATAATGTTATTAAACAAGTATTTAATTATATACTTATGGTTTTGGTCTATACTATTTTCTTACAGTTTATCTGCAAGATGTAGAAAATGTGTGTCAGATGCCTGATGGCAAATGGAAATCTCTAATACTTTTTGTACCTTTAAGACTTGGTGCTGACAAGTTAAATCCAGTCTATACGTCTTGTTTAACACACTTATTAACGTTAGATACCTGTATTGGAGTTATTGGCGGTCGACCTAGGCATTCGCTTTATTTCATTGGTTTCCAGGAAGATAAATTAATCAATCTAGATCCGCACTATTGCCAGGAAACGGTCGACGTATCAAAAGACAATTTTCCCTTGACGAGTTTTCATTGTACCTCGCCAAGGAAAATGTTGATATCGAAAATGGATCCTAGTTGTTGCGTAGGATTTTATTTTCATAACAAAATACATTTCACAAATTTTATGGAGATTGCTCCCTCCGTACGTATAATGGTTTTTCATAATGATAATTCTCGATCGTATTGCAAACAGATTAGAAGTTTACCGAGTGCGTTCTTGATATTTCAGTATTTGGTGCCAGAAGATGAAAAAGTCGACTATCCGATGTTTTTATTCTGCGAAGGCAGCAGAAATGATCTCCATCAAAAATTCGACATTGCAGAAAACATAATTCCTACTACTACCTCTTTTACAGGTAACGAGACATACGATGATGATCTTGACGAGTGCGAAGAATTTGAACTGCTTCAGTGAAATGTTTGTCACTGACAGTTCAATATTTCTTGAGTACTTAAAGACACTCATTGATAGTTCTCGGAGAAGAATGATAATAATACATTAATCAGAATTCTCCGTTCATTCGTCCACATATGTACAAGGAAAAAAAAACCAATCGACAACTTTAGTAGATGCAGAACTTCGCGTAATATTAGATAGTTGAATATTACTTGATAAAATGAATTTGTGCAGCAAAATGAATTTTAAGATCTTAACCTGTCCTTTGAACGGCACGGATTAGCGCATCGAATATTTTCCATTCGTGATAAAAACAAAGTATATAAACTTTAAAAGCGTTATCATCAATACATAATTCTGTGAACATAAATTAATGCTGCTTTTGTACTTAGATATGTTATTGCACAATTCTTTTCCCCCTTTGTTTCTTGATCTCAAAAATGATTGCCTTTAATGATCGTTAGAAATTAATTTAGCGTACGATTTACAAATTACTTCAAGAAGGTATTTATTTGACGCGTGTTCAATAATGATCGCATCAAGACTTGCGTAGATCGTAAGTTGACGATTTTGCTATGAAGAGTAATTTTTATAAACATTTCTCGATTCCTCAAGGGGATGTTCCTGACATAACTTATTTTGTAACGGAACAACATAAGATTCCTTGCAACATGCGACATGACCAATTTTCATTTCGTCGTTAGATCGAACGTGTGCGCGTTTCGTATATCGAACTATACCTACCTTTAATAACATCTAAGCCTGAATTAATTTAATAACGAAATCTTAAGTTATTTATTTATTTACTCTATTAGTCCTTGCCATTGACGACTATATTGAACTTATAATAAGTTCTTGCGCATTATCGCGCTTTATCACTGCGCACGACATAACGTTTTATGTTATGAAAGAGAAAAATATGCTATTAACAAAACGTACGCAATATTAAGTTACTGGTATTACTTAATTTTTGAGAGAGAAAAAAATGTGAGCATGATATATAATGTATATTATACTCATATTGTTAAAGGTCTGTACACAATTAAAAATTGTTAAAATTCTTATATCGGTACAGTTAAAAATAAACATGGAAAGACGTATAAGAATTATCTTTTAATGTTTATTTCCTCTTTATAATCGTGGATGCTTGTAATTTTCTCTATAACAATATAAACAGAATACATACATACCGAATACTTAATACACTTGCACTATGTAAGTTCAAGTAATGTCTTCTGCCAAATCAAAATCGGCTTTTAACATCATTGATCCCTATACTATATACAACACTCATCCTATACATATATGATTTCTATAAAACGATGATGAATTAAATTCATCACTAACTTATACTATAAATCGATGTATTTACGACGAATAGTTTTCTTGTGGATTATTGTCCAATTATTTGTTTTCGTACGATTACAAAATAATAATCTCAGTGAATCTAATACGACAATATTCTTATAAGGAGTGTATCTAAATAAAAAAGTTAAGATACAGAATCATATACGATGAAAGGAGTGTTCATAAAGCAAGTCAAAATTGTACATACAGGCTGGAAAACTTTGTACTGTATCGATAAGAAATGTTCAAATTATTTTGCAATTATTACAGATATATAAAAATTACAGAAAAATATATTGTAAACCTCTCCCATATTTTGTAATATATTTATCTAGATATGTGCGTATGCAAAACAGTTCTGCTAAAGTCTTATTGGAAGCATGTAAATTGTTATCAGCTATTCGAATCAACAATTGTTTTAACATTTGTTAGTTTTTTTTTTTAAAACAATTGCGTTCTAGTACTTATAATTAGGACATGAATTCTGTGATGGCATTTTTAACATGCGGCCACATCTCATCAGTAGTGTTACCTTGGAAACTTTTTAATATCCCAATATCTTCATAGAACTTTAAAATAGGTGTATTTTCCTTCGAGTATCTTGCTAATCTCTCCTTTACAATGTCCACCTTGTCATCATCTCTTTTACATAGAGGCTCACCAGTTACATCATCCTTACCCTATTTTAAAATCAAAATCAATTAGTGCTTTAACAGTTACAATTTTCGTCTTACTGATAATACAGAAATATGATTAAGAAAGAAAGAGAATTTTAATTGGACTTTACTTGTTACCAATTTCTCACAAGTATTCTGAATAGATTAACACTAAACTTTTACTTCCTTCTGTTCAACTTACCGGCACTTTCGGACTGTTGAACCCGATGTTGTAAACCCTTCCACTGGGCAAATGAACCCACCTGTTTTCCACGCGATTTAAAATCACCGAAACAGGCACGTCAAGGTAGAGGACAAGATTCACCGGAGAAGTTTTTTGTAGTTTTTCCGCTTGCAGTAACGTTCTCGGAAATCCTGTACCAATGCCAACTATTTATTCAAATTTAGTTGCTAGCGCGTCGTTGTTGCATGTTCACGGTCAAAACAAGATGTTGAAATTACAATTTTAACTCGTCACTTACCATCCAGTAACCAATTTTTGTCTCCTACTAACTCGATTTCTTTTTTTATCATCGAGATCATTACATCGTCGGGAACGAATTTACCAGACAGCACGTAACTCGAGACCACTTTACCCAATTCTGTACATTATTAAAAAATGTCTTCGATTATTGTTCCATCTCCATCATAACTCTTTACTGGTTAATATTTCGCCCGAATTTTAAAATGAACAATACGAGTTATACTTAAGAAGCTTGTAAAAACCGATATAGAAATGACATCTGTGTTTTAAGTATAAATAGTATCGAAATTAGGTTGTGCAATTAAGCAAAGTTCCTTAATGAATAAAATCTAATGTTGATTGTATTGCATTGTTTATGAATAGGGTCGATGACGAAATAAATTGATAAGTACATCCTATAAAATATAATAATATCAGAAACGAGAATAGGGGGACAATCTAATCACGTCCGATTAATCATCTCCGCGATACAGAGGCTTTTTAACGGTACATTTTAATTTGATGCATATTAAATGAAAATCCATGAATTTTGGACCGCTTATCTTATTTAACTTTGCAACGGTATATGCAGATTTTAATGTTGAAAATAATTTAAGTTACCGCGGTAGATTTCCTTTACAAAAATTGTTAAAATTGCTGGACTAATATAAATACTTAAAACATATATATTAATCGAAATGATTTCGACATTGGTCATAAGCATATAATTCAATTAAAGCAACACAAGTGTATTTATTCTTACGCATCAAATTGATTTTCCACGCGTATGTATATCGTTAACATTTATAGCTTGAAACGATACGAAAATTGAAAGGAATCGATACGATTAACGTACGATACTAGTTTTATTTCACGCAATTAAATTTTGAAACACGTATAAACAAAGATATAATCATAACCGAATTAATTTTATACCTCGCGATTAAATTTTTATCATGAATCTGGATATAACTTTTGCTTTCGAAACGGTGTTGCAACACGTATAAGCAGAGTCATAACCTGACCAAAGAATATCGAGAAATCGAGCTTTCGGCTGTGATTCGTGGAACAATATTTCCCAAAGTGAATATTCAAGCTCGAAACTGTACATTTAAAATCCTGAAAATGTTTTTCACGATATTAGTTTTGAAAACAATGGTACTCGGCAGTAGCATTGTCGAAGGTCAGTTACAGTAACGTTAATCCCGCGTATTCCTTAAGACGATTTACAAAAAATAAACGATTGAAGATTTCTGCACGTACCGGTTTTATTTGTCATATGAAGTCGTAATTTGTCGCCGCTAGATATGTGAGCCACCTTAAAGTGTTCAACAATTCGAGCTGACATAGTGCCCTTGCCAGATGCGGGGGCACCCAATATCACGGCCCTGAAGGCCGCAGCCTTGGAGCACCACGTGGATAGTGCTACCATTAAATCGTCACTTTGAAAAAAAATCGAAACAGAAGTTAAAAATACGTTAGACGTTCAACTCTCTTCCCTTTCGTTACTTTTCTCTTCAACGAGCACCGATTGCACGAGAATGCTACAGGAACTATCTGTGCAGAGAGAAAATATATCGGCCGATCTAGTGGTTGACCTGTGAACCGCGATTGCACGACCAGTTATCGAGACGCCTACCAAACGATCGACCAATGAATGAAGGGATCTAGTTTTTTATGTCTATCATATTGGTTGACTTGGGATAAGTTTTGAGATCGAACGCATGCATATATCATATGATGTAAACTATCAGTAATATTTCGTAATTTTACGAATCGACGCGAAATATTATACTCGAGACGGATACGATACACTAAAATTTATAGAGGATAAAATGACGATAACAACGCAAACTTTATTGACAAAGTAGTACTTTATTCATATGAAAAAGTAATGCAACATTAGGGCCTGTGCTCAAATTCTTGTATTTGTTTTCTTTTTGCCTTTCAAAAGCGTATATAACGAGAGAACTAGAGAAGGCCTTATTTTCATTCAGATATCTTACGCGTCCTACGTAACAAGAGATCAAAATTACAAATTATGAAAATCTTGTTGGCGTCGGGCGCCTGTCATTGCGTACTACGGGGTAGTAATGTCCCTGTTTACAAATTTGTATCTATAGTATTGTATGATTTTCTATATGTTTCCCTATTAATCCGTGGATTAAAGTAATGTACATTACATTGTTAAAATCTTTCGTGATGTTGTATACCCCCTTAAAATATATTTATAGACCTTTGTAATCACGAGCTATCATTTGTGTACCTTAATTAACATTCTTTATCAACACTAAGCATCCAAATGTCACTCAACGTATTGCAAGTTGAAGTTTAGTCTGAGCCTACTCTTATACATACTTGGTTTTAATCCTTTGCCGACGAAGGGTATTGTACGGGGACATGAGGTTTCTCTGTAAATCCGTTAACGTCAGCCTACGGTATCATTGATTTCATCGAATAAAGGCTGTTTATGGAAATTGTATATACTACAGCAATTAAACAACATATTCGCTGATTTAAAGAGAAAATGTGTCCCTATATGGCAGGCATAATCATGGAGTTCTTTGAGCGGCTCGTTACACTTTTCTGTACCGTTGCCAAAAAAAAAAATCCTATATTTTTTTCTTTTCTGTTGGTCACTCTGATATTCTCTAGAATTTAATTCGAATATGCCTGCTGTACAAGGTCCGTTGACTGCAAAGGTTTAATCCTTAGAAAGACTATACCTAAACTCCTTGTTTTTTTTATTTTCATTGCTTGCCCATGGTTTTCATCGCGAATCGTTTAAAGCGTTCAGTTGTTGGAAAGACTAGTAAGAACATTTTACAGACGTTTTCACTAGTGACATTTCCTCGACTTTTGACAATAAGGGAACAAGAGAGAAACGTTTACCTTCCTGGGGCAGGATTTTAGATTAAACTTTGATAAAGATAACACAAAATTATAAGTCGTTATATCTCGCGTCTTTAACGCATCGAACGAAACTAAAACTGCTATGAAATGCATTTATCGGTATTTTGTATCTAGTGAGAAAGAGACGTAAAATTCATTAACTCTTCATCATATTGTGCACATGTAAGTGTTTTGAACTTGTATGTAGAGTGTCCTGCATATGTAAATGCGTGTTGCCTGTGATATTCTTTAAATGCATGAAAGTGAATAAAAGGGTAAGCGGAGATCTTCAACCCTTTTACCAAAGTTCCCCGTCTTTTTCTTTAGCTGGAACTTCTATTACTCGCGGTTTATCGATTATCCTTGCCGTACGATTTCCTTTCTCAACGATACCAATAATCCAGGCTTGATAACCTTCTTGTTTTTCAATATCCTTACAATACGCTGCAGCCTGAAAATGAGTTGCGAATCGTTAATTTCTCGATATAAAATAATAAAATCAACATAAATGCGTGTAAGAGATTCGACGTCACCGAAATGCTAAAACTGCACATCAGCATGGAATTCTCTAGTTTTTCTTCCTGCCATTCTTTAGAGTACTCGGCGATATATAAAATACTCTACTGTATTAGCAGGATCTATTGGTCTAACATCTATATTGCTACAAACCTGTTCTCTGGGTAGACAAATAAGCAATCCACCGCTGGTTTCTGCAGAGTGGCCTTGGAGGAGTTGAAACATATTACCACACGCCTTTGCAACAGCTGCCATCTTAGCAACAACGGGTAAATTATGAATAACAAATGAAACTTCGTTTTTCTGGTGTTTGGCCAGATTTTGTGCGTGTCCTAGGAGACCGAACCCGGTGACATCTGTTGCTCCATGCGCGTTGTATTTATGCATTAATCTGGCCGCTGTTATACGAACGAGAAATCAATTCTAACGTATAAATTTTAATTATCTAAAATGCAATTGAACACTTGCCTATTCTATTGAGCCTGGCCATACTGTCCATCGCTCTCTGATAAGCTTTTCTCACGTCGTCTTCGCTGACCACGAGTTTGATTCTGTTCCAACGATCCGGTTGGTCCAACCACTGGTGAGCATTAACAGCAACTTGAGTTCCAAGTGGTTTTGTTAGAACAAGAACATCGCCAACAACTGCATTATCTGGCCTGGACAGAAAATAAATCATTATTTGAAGATACACGGGTACGTACGTAAATATAACACACGTAAAAATGCATACACAATATATTCGTTCGGTTGGCAAACGGTAGAAGCAACGCCGCCTATCGTACACCAAGGATTAACAACCGTTTGACCTCCCGTCACCGTTGTTCCAGCTTCCAAGGCTGAATCTTTAAACCCTCTCATGATCAAAGGTACAACAACGTCCCGTTCCTTCTCGGTCATTTTTGTACTGACTCCCAGTAACATTAACATATTGTCGCACTCCGTGACTCCCATAGCGTACAAGTCGCTGATAACATTAGCGCATGCAATTTTACCTGGAAAAGTACTCCAATAGCAGTGGTCAAACAGGATGCCATACAATAAATTTTATCCTTAACAAAGGAAACGTGAACATTATTTGGACTGCTGAACTTGTATAGATACAGAGATACAAGTTGCAGCTGGAAGAATAGAAAATTTCTTTGTTAAAATACAACATTATCTATATCTTACCCATCATGTAAGGATCATCGACTAGCGGGTAGAAGAAATCTGTTGTTTGCACCAAACTGAGCCCGCCGTGCCTCAGTGGAGTCACGGAGGAATCCATACCAATGCCTGAAATACACAATACGCATTAGTTACCTGTAGCTGAACATTCTCAACCTTTAATCTTTTACAGAAGAAACAAAGTTGCGATCTATATTTTGAGTATATGGGAATCGTACGGTGAAACTAATTATTTTTTGTATTATTTGGTTCTTGGCATGATTCTATGGACTTACAGCTAGAATTGGCCAAATTTTATTCTCAATAACGAATAAAAATATTAGATTCTATTTATATTTCATTTGTAAATTAGAGTCGATCGATAAATTTCTGTTTATATTCGTTAGTAACGAATAAAATTTACCCAACTCTGCTTCCAGCACACGGGTAAAACGAAAATTTGTTTTGGCGCGCAAAAAGTTTAATATCCGACAATGACACGTTGCGAATTAATTAGTACGTTATAAATGAAATCGTTCGACAAGGTGTTAATTGTAATCAAGCGATAGACAATATGAAAGATTTACATTTTCATTGAATCGTATTTATTTTTGTATATCGTATAAAATAGCAGCGTCATATACGTATTTTGATTAAGCTGTTGAATCTAAAGAAGTTGAGAACACTTGTATTTCCGGTGGCGTGGGAGAAATCTGGCGGGAGGCGACTAAATACATGGCTACCGACACAATAGGGCAGACTATCGGAACATTGGCACCCTGTTGTCGTTCGAAGGATTATTTATTTACAGCCACATTCTTGTACCAAGCTACGATTTCTCCCGACTATCATATTCGTATATAAATTTGAACAAATATTGTCCGCACGTTGTTCCGGATTACCACTAGACGCAATAAAACGTGACTAGAAAATACTGGAAGAACGCACGAAACAGTTTCAAATACGATTTCTCACGTTGTCGGGGAAAAATTTCGGAAGACAATTTGTAGGAAAAAAATTTGAATAATACACGCGATTGGAAAAAATCGGCGAAGAAAAGAGACGCGCCATAAAATCAAACATGTCGGCGTGGAAAGGTGTCCACGGTACACGCGCGCAATAAACTAATTTACTCACCGATGCGTGGAATGGCCATGTGCATAAAATGGGCATGTTCATGATCTTGTGCGCTACCATCGTCGGCCTGTAGTCCCTCGAGGAGTTTCCCAAGAACCTCCTGAGGGACTTTACACCCTCATCCTTTCAGGTCGGCGAACCGCGTAAGGCGGAAAGTCGCGTCTAGATCATGTGCCACGGGGTCAAATGGCCTACGCAACGCCAAGGCGTTCGGATTTCCACCGAGCTCTAGCTGGGCCACGGCCAGGGCGTCTTGGCTGACCTGGGTTCCCTGTAGCTCCGCCATCACGCTAAAACTCAACTAGAATCGAACGAACCGGGTACGCGACGCGTTTCGCGGCCCTGCGACAACGATTCTCCTCCGACGGCTTCTCAGATTCCTGCGCGATATTCACAACCAGCGGGTTCTCACGCTTGACGGCCGCGCTCTCTGTGCCCACACAGTTGCGATACCGAATCGACGAATGCCGCCGACAGACAGCCACTGGCCCGGTAACACGAACTCGTCGCGAACGGGAATTATACTTTGCACCGGCGTCGACTACTTGGGATCGTACGTGCTGACAAAATGGACGCACCTCCAGCTTTCACGGAATCGGAAGAACGCGCAAGGCCACCGAGAGCCCCCACGATGTCCCTTCCGTGGCGTTGCCAACTTCTTATTGGTTCTTTCGTATCGGCGCATGTGTGTTCGTCGTTTGGAGCTCAGGTACGTCGCTAGGGGCACGATTCTCCCGCGCTCCGTATAGCCATACCCGGACCTTCTCGTGTCGCGGACCGATGCGACAAGTGTGCTTTGTGTCCTGTATACGCTTTACTCTCGATAAGTTCAACCTCCGAGCGGCAATATTTCTTTTTACTTTTCCGTTTGAATAATGATCCTCGACAACCGGCGAGACGTCTGGCCGGTTTAAACTTTACTTACCTCGAGCCGGAATCAACGTTCGACGAATATTTCGGCGAAAATGAAAAATTTCATTCGTACGTGGGAAAACACAAATTGCATTTAACGATTCGAGATTAGTTGGATAGTTTCCGTTGTTGATCCACCTAAAAATTAAAGTTTTCTTTGGAGATTTGATCGAGAAGATCCGTGTTAATTGTAATAATCGTCGAAATTAACGATTCGAAAGAAAATGTAAGATACCAATATTTTGGATATACGCCAATGAAAGTACAATCTGATTTAAAATTCTCTCGTACCTCGTTGAAGTATAGGCAGCATTTTTGAGTGTCTATCTACTCACGAATAGTTTTCTTGTTTTGTATACACATGGATCTTTGATCATTCTCGTAAGAATTATTATTCTATCAAGTATATTTTAACCGCTTAACGCTTTTATCCAAGTATGATGGGCTATATACATATTGCATTTTTCGGTTAATCCGAGTAAAGCTGGGCATTTAAAGGTATAACTAATATAAAAACAAATAAATAATAATTAAAAACTACATAGTATATTTTTATTGTATTTTTATCAACTCAAAGAATACGTTAGGTGATTAAACGTGCCATAATCGAGCGAAGCTTTCTATGTAAAACATATGTACGTACACAGAGATTACAGTAAATAATACTCCGAATAGGAACAATCATATTTTACTCGAATTGATCCGAGTTCGTAAGGTAACAATTTATCCAGAAAAGCTCTGCGTGTATAGTGTGTATACTATAATAAGTGTAAAAGTGTGTTCAAAATACTTGAAGGTGTGATTCTATTGTTTCCTTACCGGAAATAGCCAAACTTTTTGTCGCAAAGCACACTCGATTTTCATTAGTTTCTTCCGGTGACTCGAACGTGCCGCGTTGTTTTCGTCTACCAATCAACGCCTTTCAGTGGTTCTCAACTGTAACGAGATTATAGTTAGGCACAACATTAAAACATTTTATTTTTTCTTATGAAAGTAAGACATTCGTGTCATCCGGTCGTGAATTACATTTTGTTTGATTTTGACTTTGTCTCGAGTCGTCTGAAATGCTTGCTGCAGATGGCCCCAAGGTTCTTCCATTTCTTATTGCATTCTGCCGCGACGTGCGAAACGTGCGAGCATTTCGAATGCGTTCGAATTTTTGCAGAAACCATTGCGGCATGCCTAGACTTCAAACGATCCTTGTCAGATGCGATCACCTCTGTCGTCATCGGTTTTCCACATTTTGTTTCGCACGACTTTAATAAGTGGTCGTTCCAACCGAGATCATATACTAAATTTCACCCTTTTATCGTGATTACGTTTAAAATAATTGACGATCGTTACGTTCAATTATAATTCTTACCGTTCCGGTAGCGCTGCGGTCTTATTTTTCTCTGGATTGATAATGTCGCATGCGACACGATAACGGTAATAAGCTACGTAGCTCCCCAAGCCATTTGACGCGAAAATGCATTGGAATCATGGTCACAGACAAGGTATACGAGTAGATCTTTCACCCAATGTATTTTTTCGGACCATTTTTATAGGGGTCTCGAAAACCCATTACCATTTTCGTGTCATTCGCAACGTTACCAACAGATTCAGAAATGAATTTTAGTCCCTTCCATAGTCAACTCACATGTTCTTACGCATACACAACAGCTGTCTGCCCATCAATGCTAATTCAATGAATAATTTCTCAACTGACCGGCATTCATGAGAAGAGGCCGCTAAAATCAGCTCCGAATTTTCAGGTCGGTATGGCAGTCAGATTCGGCCGCGAAAGTCCATAAGGTGAAAAGTCTACTCGTATACCTCGTTTGTGGTAATTATATTTAAAATAATTGACAGTCGGTAAATTCAATTCTAATTCCTGCAGTTTCATTAGCGTTGCGGTCTTATTCTGTCCGGGATTGGTAACGTCGCATGTGACATGTAAATGATAATGAATTGGATTGGTTTATTTACTTTCTATGTAATCTGTGATGATAGGTCTAATCTTTATCTAGTTCGTAATGAAAAATCTATTCTGTACCTCGTCTGTGGTACAATAATCAGTTTGTGATCATACAATTACATATTATCCGACGAGTGGATCGCCAGCAATTCACACTGACCACCAACAGAGTTCTTATAATTTCTACTAATTCTCGCAAGTTCGTATTCCCAATTCTTTATACATACAAATGATATCTTAAACAAAAATCATATTATAATTTTATATATATATATATATATGTATATTTTAGTAATTACCATATAATATTTAATGTTATTCAATAATAGTACTTAAATTAAATGTACTTATAAAGTAAATAAATGAGTAAGTAAAAGAAACTTGATGAATTAATTCTTTCCAAGAAATCCAACATTGTAAGAAGTTATAGAAATTATAAAAGTCGATAAATATGATTCGGTTAAAGTTTTATGGATCCCAAACAATTTTAACTAGTAAATAACACAATTTTTTAAACAAATTTATTTATTCTATAAAGCTACATTTCTTTTGTACCTCACACTATCACAACACTGTTCCTAAACCCTCGAATGCTTCAAAATTCACATATCAATTCATTGCTCGAAGCACACATAACACTAGCATTGTGGACAATTAAAGAAGTTTTATCACATTGAAACCATTCTCGCAGATCGGCGTTATCGCAATCACTGCATCCTGCTATTGTATTCAGTACAAAAAGAGTTTCTTCTATATCTGTCATAATATTATTTTTCACCTTTTCTCGTAAAGTGTCTACAAAATAGCTCTTTCTTTTTTAATGTATTATTAAAGCGATATGTCGGTAAGTATTACGATCTTTTCGTCGTTTCGTGTTTGAGACACACATACAATTAACAACAATGAAAACGGCATGAAAAGGGAGATCGCGTCGATGATCGGAAGAATGTTCGCTCGAACGTTGCGTGGTATTTCGACCATTCAATGGCATGGTCGGACGAAGGCTGGATTTTGAAGACGAAGTCAGAAATAAAATGATGAAATTTACAATGACAGTTCCTGCATAAAATCAGACAACAATAACACTTTGTATTCAGTGCTACGATACTTGTAATTCAATTGAACGGATCCTCGAAGGTCGAACCAAGGAAGACGCTATCGAAAAATAAAGAAAACTGAAAACAAAGATAGCGATAGGAAGGATTGAGCATTATGTATGGGCGACGTAACGTAACGTAAAAGCTATGCGTTAATTGTAATCGCATCTTGGTGACGGCATTTTTCAGAAGCAATGCTTTTCCTTCAACATCTCATCGTCTGATCAAGCACTTTTTTAATTCATGAAACCTGTCCTTTTCGGGTTCAAATAAACACGATTAATTTCATACATACGATTCTAAGTTACAAACAATATCTTTTAAAAGTAAAATGGAGATTGTTGTTTCTATAGATCGATACTTGAGTGTTTATATTTTTTGCTCGTTTATATCATTTCTTTCTATATTTTTTATTTAATTTCACTAATACTTTTAAAACAATAATAAAAGTTGCGTTTCGATAAGATGCTTGTGATTGTTTTCTCAAGTATGATCGGACGCAAACTTGAAGTAACTCCAAATTCCTAATCTAAAGTTTTTAATGTCTCGATGGTTATCGATCGTAAAAACTTTAATGGTTAATGGTACCCGAATATTATATAAAGTAGCTATGCCAGAAAAAAAATTAAAAAGGAAGCTCGAAGTTGTAACGCCGTTACAGGAGAATCCCCCCTTAAGTTCGGGGTCTGAAAACCCGTGAAATCGAGACGTTTCGTAGACGTTAAGAACGACAATCGGTTTGCGATCGTCCGTTAGCAGATTTTCTATTCTATTTCTGCGACTGGTGCTAGTATGCAAAAACCGTTCGGCTACCTCGGTTATATGATTAATTAGGATTGCAAAACGTCGCGGTACGTTATAATGCGAAGACCGGGGGAAGGTCGAGTGCTCGGCCTTGGAGCCCTCGCACGGGGAACGTGGCGCGGAGATACGGGCTCGAATGTTATTCGTACGAAACCGTCCCCACGATACACTTTTACACTTGACGGCCGGTTTCACGTAGTTTCGGTAATCGTGCGGATGTCTCCTGCCCGTGTGCCGCTAGATACACGCTTTTTAAAAACAAAGTCAGCGACACTTTTGCGGAGTTAACGCGAAGCTGGCGATAATACGTGCGTCCGCGACGGATACGTGCACACCACGAACGGTGATCACGAGTCCGTCGAGTGATTCCGTTGTTGTCTGTCGTGAACATTGGAAGCCTTTGAATTCGTCAAATCTGCGGGACGCGTGCTGCTCACGAGAATCGATACAAGCCAATTAAAGGCAGCGGGGGAATTATTAAAAACGACGGCCCGTTGTACGAGGGGACGGAGATAAAAGCCAGTGATGAAACCGCGGGTAAATTTCACGATACACGGGTTATTCCTTGCGACACGGATTGTTCGAACGAATCGCGTACGCGTACGCGTTCGCGCGGTGGGCGCGCGCACGCGGCGTCCATCGACGAATTCTTCCGATGCGTCGTCCGGGCATAAATTGAAAACCACGACGAGATACGACGCCAGATAAGATCCGAGTTTATTGGAAACGCGAAACCATCCGTTGGAATACGAATTTACATAGTAATATTCCACGCGATTTCACGCCGCGCGTGATAAGAAGCGCGGTCG